TTTATCAATAACAAAATTGTATCTCATTTCACCTGAAAATTTATGAAGAACAAAATTATATCTCATTTCACCTGAAGATATATCAGTAACAAAATTGTATCTTATTTCACCCAAAAATTAGTCAGTAACAAAGTTGTATCTCATTTCACCTGAAGATTAATCAACAACAAGGTTGTATCTCATTTCACCTGAAGATTAATCAACAACAAGGTTGTATCCCATTTCACCTGAAGATTAATCAGTAACAAGGTTCTTTCTCGCTTCGTCCGAAAATTTATCAGTAACAAAATGGTAGCTTATTTCATCCAAAGATTTATCAGCAACAAAATTGTGCTCGCAAGAGCAAAAAAAGAGTATGAGGTTAAATGAGAGCGAGCATGCCTGAGGAATAAGTTATTTCCGACGAACGTGGAACATTTAGCACGTGGCTCTATCATGTTTCAACTGTTCCTATGAGATTAATAACCGTCCCTTTTTGTCACCCGGATAATATAGTGTATGTGTGACTAACACTCGTATGGAAAATCACATGGACAGGTGATCGATAAATTCTTATCCAACGGTTGTTTCTTGTGAAACGTTGATTAGTTTCTGTCGCACGTATCTATCAATCGAAAAACCGATTCTTCCTGTGACAGATTCTATTTTCCCTGAGGCGTGATAAATCTTGGTGGTGAACAGTGATTTGTAATTCGGGGATTAAGGGAAATTCGAGGAGGCATCTGTGAGTAGGTGAAAATTGTTTTAAAATATTTATTTTTGTGATAGTTTGAGAATTTGGGAATTTGGGAATTTGGGAATTAGGGAATTTGGGAATTTTGGGAACTTAGGGAATTTCGGGAATTTTGGAATGTAGGAGTCTAGGGATTTTGAGATTTGGAAATTTGAGAATTTGGGGATTGGAGGATTTGCGAATTTTGGAATCGTGAAATATAGAAATCTTAGAATTTTGAGATTTGGAGGTTTTAGAAATTTTGGAATGTAGGAATCGGGGAATTTTGTATTTGAGAATTTGGGAATTTGGGGATTGGAGGATTTGGGAAGTTTGCGAATTTAGGGAATTTTCGGATTTAGAAGATTTAAAATTTGGGAGTTTTAGGATTTGGAAGTTTTGGGATTTGGAAAATTTGGGATTTGGAAAATTAGGGATTCGGTAAACTAAGGATTTCGAAGTTTAGGAATTTGGGAATGTTGAGATTTGGAGGTTTGAGAATTTAGGGATTTGGAAATTTGGAAATTTGGAAATTTGGGAATTCGGTAATTTGGTAATTTAGAAATTTGGTAATTTGGTAATTTAATAATTTAGTAATTTAGAAACTTAGAAATTTAGAAATTTAGAAATATAGAAATTTAGAAATTTAGAAATTTAGAAATTTAGAAATTTAGAAATTTAGAAATTTAGAAATTTAGAAATTTAGAAATTTAGAAATTTAGAAATTTAGAAATTTAGAAATTTAGAAATTTAGAAATTTAGAAATTTAGAAATTTAGAAATTTAGAAATTTAGAAATTTAGAAATTTAGAAATTTAGAAATTTAGAAATTTAGAAATTTAGAAATTTAGAAATTTAGAAATTTAGAAATTTAGAAATTTAGAAATTTAGAAATTTAGAAATTTAGAAATTTAGAAATTTAGAAATTTAGAAATTTAGAAATTTAGAAATTTAGAAATTTAGAAATTTAGAAATTTAGAAATTTAGAAATTTAGAAATTTAGAAATTTAGAAATTTAGAAACTTAGAAATTTAGAAATGCAGAAATTCAGAAATTTAGAAATTTGGAACTTTAGTTACTTGAAAATTTATAACCTTACTCATCTAAAACTCACAAAATTTCACTATTCTTATTCTAATAAAAAATTTAAAAACTTGAAAACATACAAAAGTCCCTAAATATTCCAAAAGCCTCCCAATCACTTAAAATTCTTTTCAAAATAAATAATCTTCCCTTTTATTGTACAAATGCTGTCTAACGACAAAACTCAATCGTAATTGGTAAATTAGAAAAGGAAAGAATTACTCGCTGATCGATAATCCACTCGACATCCACGATTCAGATTGCAAAGAAACGATGAAAATTAATTGAATGACTGGAACAAGTCGAGAGTCGTTAATCGCTTAGCCTACACGTCGCGGTTGTAATTAAAACGGTTTTAACCTGGATCGAGAGTCAACTTCTATTTAGTTAGTCTGCCTATATTAATAGGTGTCTTAGGAAGACTGATCATTCGTGGTTGTCGTAGAAAACTCCGGATTAGGTACGGAATGATTGCAAAAGTCTTGATGGTTTCGTCTTCAACCGATGTCGTTACTCTTACAACGGTAAAACAACTTTGTTACAAGTTGCTACTTTTCTGGTTTCCAAATTTTTTATTTTAAAATTAAAATTACATTTACTTTCAATATTCAAGTTTTCATATCTTGACATTTCAAAGTTGAGATTAAACAATTTTTAAATTTTATAAAGGTTTAAATTTTGGAATTTTTGAATTTTCAAATTTTCAAGTGTTTGAAGGTTTAAATATTCAAATTTTCATATTTACTTCTGAATTTTTTCATTTATAAATTTTCAAATGTTCAGGTGTTCAGATGTTTATATTTTGAAATTGAAAAATTTATGAAAAAGCATATTTTCAAATTCTTTAATTCATTATATTGCAACCTCACTAAAAGTTCTTGTAACTTGACTATATTAACATTAGAACTACTAGTGTTAAGTGTACACTTCTAAATTAAAAATGAAGTGAAAAATTAAATAAGTACTGAGACATCAAACAACATGTACAAATTTTTGTCAACATATGACAGACATTTCAACAAAAACACGACAACAAAATTTTGCAGTATAAAATATGAAACTTGAAATCAGTCATTTTGACTGGTTACTAGCTGCAGTGTTAAGTCCTACACATAGTTGCTAGCATTAAAAATAGATCTAATATAGTTGCTAATATTAAATGTGTAATTAATATAACTGATTGCATCAAATCATACACATAGTCGATTGAAAGTACAATCAACATAGATTGCAGTCAATTTGTATCACACAAAGTCACAATCAGCCTCCGCAACATTAAACGTGTCAATCGTCATGTTCCCCATTAAAAGATTAATTAAACCTCCAGCGAAAAACGCATCGATTTTTACGGTGACCTAATAGATCGTTCGCAAACAGCTTCGAAAGTAAAAGCAACACGGTTGCTATCTCGAAATGGAATCGATTTATCATTCGGATTTCTTAACAGTGATTCGCTTGAACGACGTTGAAACGAATCGAGAAGATCGTCATGGAAACGGCGACTAGCATGAATTAGCTTTGATATATCGCTCATGCCGCGATTCGGTCCTAATTGAAGAGTACCTCGGGAACGTGTAGCGTTTATTATGATTGCAAACCGCTAGTCTGAAATATGACTGCTTTGGAATGAACGGCGCATGAAACGCATTAATCGTATATCGAACCGATGAGAACGAACCTCGAGAGTCCTCGAATGTGGTCATGAAATCCCAGAATGCTTTGACCAATATTTTGGAACCGAAATCGGGTAGAATTTATTTCACGAATATGCTGATTCTTTCAACTTCCTATTTCTACTTTATTTCATTTTTATTTCTGATTCTTATATCTGGAGGTTCATCTGCCATTTCTAGGAAAGCAATCTGTGTGAAAGCACCAGTTAAATAAATCATCTTGTGCTTTCCTTGGAAAGATCTTTTTTTATCGAAATTTATTCTATTTTTGGTTGAGAGGAAATTGTGGGCGTATGAAGTATATTGTACCATTAATTATTTGGAAGTTTGAGAATTCGGGGATTTGAGAATTTGGGGATTTGAAGATTTGGGGATTGGAGGATTTGGGAATTTTGGAATTATAACGGATAGAAATTTGGGGATTTTTGAATTTGGAAGTTTGAGAATTCGGGAATTTGAGAATTTGGAGATTTGAAGATTTGGGGATTGGAGGATTTGGGAATTTTGGAATTATGACGTACAGAAATTTGGGGATTTTTGAATTTGGAAGTTTGAGAATTCGGGGATTTGAGAATTTGGGGTTTTGAAGATTTGGGGATTGGAGGATTTGGGAATTTTGGAATTATGACATATAGAAATTTGGGAATTTTGGGATTTGGAAGTTTGAGAATTCGGGGATTTGAGAATTTGGGGATTTGAAGATTTGGGGATTGGAGGATTTGGGAATTTTGGAATTATAACGGATAGAAATTTGGGGATTTTTGAATTTGGAAGTTTGAGAATTCGGGGATTTGAGAATTTGGGGATTTGAAGATTTGGGGATTGGAGGATTTGGGAATTTTGGAATTATGACATATAGAAAATTGGGGATTTTGGGATTTGGAAGTTTGAGAATTTGGAGATTTGAAAATTTGGGAATTTGGTAATTTGTGAATTTGGAAGTTTGAGAATTTGGAGATTTGAAAATTTGAGAATTTGGTAATTTGTGAATTTGGAAGTTTGAGAATTTGGAGATTTGAAAATTTAGGAATTTGGTAATTTGTGAATTTGGAAGTTTGAGAATTTTGGGATTTACTAACTTTAGTATTTAAGAGAGTCGTTATTCAAACAAGAACACTCATTAAAATAACCTATAAGAATTCTAACCTAACTTTCATAACCTAAATATAAAACACCCGCGAATCTCGAAGTATCTGTAATAAAAACCACTTGCTTCCATCAATTAATTTCCAAGATGAAGTCGACCGATAAAGAAGAAAGATTTTTGCCGTGCAAAGGTTTCGCAGACGCGGCAGGAATATCTTCTCAGATTACGAATGCATCGAGATAGCAGTGAAACTTTAAAATGGAGACGGGATAAATCAGATAAGGCATCTATACATAAGAAAACGAATAGACAATAAAATTGAAGAAAATATGGCGGATGAAAGGCGCCAGTTGAATCGGGGGTCGTAGTTCGCAAACTTTTATACGCTGTTCTTCATGCGCAATTTATTCGAATCAATTTTGAAACCTTTATTAACTTTGTTGCAGGATGGCTGGGAGCAATGTCGACGGGAGTGGCTTTGCTAGTTTCGCCCGTGACAATAGCGTTTTGTCGACGAAAAAGCACAAGGCTTACCGCGGTGTTGGGTGGCCTCGTTACAGCACTCGGTTGCCTCTTCACTTCTTTCGCCTCGCAATTCCACCAGTTGTTCTTCAGCTATGGCACCGTTGTGGGTGAGTCATTGAAAAAATAACATAAAATTTCGTGTACTTTCACTTTGCAAAATAGTTAATCTAGTAAGTGAAAGTTACCCCTAACTCTTTCTAGCCCTTTTGGATTTAAATTATTTTGTGAATTTTGGGGATTTTGGAATGTAGGAATCTAGGGATTTTGAGATTTGTAAATTTGAGAATTTGGGGATTGGAGGATTTGCGAATTTTGGAATCGCGAAATATAGGAATCTGGGAATTTTGAGATTTGAAGGTTTGAGAATTTGGGGTTTTAGAAATTTTAGAATGTAGGAATCGAGGGATTTTGGATTTGAGAATTTGGGAATTTGGGGATTGGAGGATTTGGGAATTTTGGGATTTGGGAAGTTTGCGAAATTAGGGAATTTTGGGATTTAGAAGATTTAGAATTTGGGAGTTTTAGGATTTGGAAAATTTGGGATTTTGAAAATTAGGGATTTGGTAAACTAAGGATTTCGAAGTTTAGGAATTTGGGAATTTTGAGATTTGGAGGTTTAAGAATTTAGGTATTTGGAAATTTAGGAATTTGGAAATTTGGAAATTTGGTAGTTCAAATTATTTTGGGCTATCGATTCTTTTTTTACTGGTTTGTGAGGGAAACCTAAATAAAGTTTATGTATTTTATTTGTCAAATATTTATTTTTAGCTTTATGTATTGTTTACACAATGTATTTTATGTACTTTATTTGGAATATATTTGTTTTTGATTTTACGTATTTTTTACATGATGTGATTATTTTATGTACTTTATTTGGTATATATATATATTTATTTCTGATTTTATGTGTTTTTTATACAATGTGTTTTATGTAGTTTATTTACAATATTTTTATCTGATTTTGTTTGGAGGACATTTATCTGACTTAATATATTTTGTGTGAGATACAATTATCTGATTTAGTGTATTTTGTTTGGGGTACATTTATCTGATTTTATGTATCTTATTTATTATACATGTGTCTGATTTTATCTATTCTATTTATAATGCATTTGTCTGACTTTGTATATTTTATTTATAATATATCTATCTGACTTCATCTATTTTATTTATGATACACTTGTCTGACTTTGTGTATTTAATTTATAATATAACACATTTGTCTGACTTCGTGTATTTTATTCACAATATACTTGTCTGATTTGATGTATTTTATTTACAATACACCTGTCTAATTTCATATATTTTATCCACAATGCACTTGTCTAATTTTATGTATCATATCTGTAGAATTATTTACATGTATTAATGAATACATTTATTGTTCAGATTTTCGGAATTAAAATATTAACAATAAAATTGTAATATGTGTCTTTCTGAATAATTACAGTAGAACTTTTGCAAATTCCTTCCCCATTATTTTCACCCTTAAGAGGTTTAAAAGATCCTTCCGGGCGATTTCTATAGTAAACAATTACTTTAGGAGGATAACAAAGATTAGGGTAACGAGAAGTTTATCTTGTGACATTAATTATTTTACGTAGGCATAGGGGTTGGCATGACGAGGGACTGCAGCACTCTTATGGTGGCGCAATATTTTAAGAGGAGAAGAGAACTTGTCGAGATTTTCATCGTATCCGGAAGTGGCCTTGGTATTGCTGTTATGTCTGCTTTTATAAAAGGAATGATCAGGTAATTTTAAATAATAATTGTTCGCAACAATTAAATTATAACACCCAAGATTAAATATTAGATTTAACATTTAAATTCAATTTAAATTTAAACATTTAGAAATAAATCATTAACGTTAACTAAATTGTATAATATCCAAAATTAATGAAATATTGTCATAATCAAATATAACATGAATAAAATATCTAGCACAGAAATGCAATTTTAAATTTAATTAACTTTGCAATCAACAAAATTAATTAAATTGTAAGATAAATTCAATTATGAAGTAAAATACATTATCGATAAAAAGTCACATAAAAATGAAAAAATTATTGCTTTAATTTCAGCAAAATTGGATGGCGTTTGGGTCTTCAAGCAGTGACCGGTGTAGTTTTTCTAACTTTCATCTTAGGTACCTTTTATCGAAGCGCGTCTCTCTATCATCCACAACGTCGAGCGATTTTGCATCTGAAGAACCATAAACGCAAGATTAAAGACAAGAACAAGACGGACGACAGACCTCCCTTCTTCGATTTTAGTACCTTGAAGAGCAAAACCGTAAGGATACTTCTAGTATCGACTGGGATATCTGCCTTTGGGATCAATACTCCAATATTTTACTTGGTAAACAGTTTCATGTAAATTATAAGTTCTCGAACTCGTAGATTCACAGATATGATAATTGTGTCAAGTTAATCTCTCAAACTTCTGATTCATTAAATTCATAAAGTTACAAATCAACTTCTACGTTCCAAAATCTTCAGACACAAAGTCACAAATATTTGCAAAAATCCAAATTCCAGAATGCTTAAGCTTGCAAGTGGTTGAACTTTCAAACCCCTAAATTTCTAAATTCTCAAACTTCAAATCTAAACTCCACAAGAATCTTAAAATCTATACACATCTTTTAACTTCTAAAATCCTCAAATTTGAGAATTTGTCAAATCCTCAAGTTCACGAACCCCAAATTCTCAGAACCCCAAATCTCAAATTCCTACACCAACAAAAATCCAAATTTTCGAAACCCTAATCTCCCAAACCTTCAAATATAAAAATCCTTAAATTCCTAAACCAAATCCCCAAACTCACCAGTTTCCAAATCTCCAAATTCACCAATTTCCAAATCCCCAAATTCACCAGTTTCCAAATCTCCAAATTTCCAAATCCCCAATTCCCCAAATTCACCAGTTTCCAAACCCCCAAATCTCCAAATTCACCAATTTCCAAATCTCCAAATTCACCAGTTTCCAAATCCCCAAATTCACAAGCTCCCAAATCTCCAAATTCACCAATCTCCAAATCTCTAAATTCACCAGTTTCCAAACCCCAAATCCCCAAATCCCCAAATTAACTAGTTTCCAAATCCCCAAATTCACAAGCTCCCAAATCTCCAAATTCACCAATTTCCAAATCTCCAAATTCACCAGTTTCCAAATCCCCAAATCCCCAAATACCCAAATGCACCAGTTTCCAAATCCCCAAATTCACAAGCTCCCAAATTCCTAAATTCACAGCTTCCAAGCTCCTGAGTTTCCAAATTTCTAAATTTATTAATTCCTGCCCTCCCTATTTCCTACCCTTCCGATTTCCTACCCTCCCAATTTCCAAAACTCCAAACACCCAAATCCCCAAATTCCCAAATTCACCAATTTCTAAATCCCCAAATTCGCGAGCTTGCAAATCCCCAAATTCGATCTCCAAATTCACCAATTTCCAAATCTCCAAATTCACCAGTTTCCAAATCCCCAAATCCCCAAATACCCAAATGCACCAGTTTCCAAATCCCCAAATTCACAAGCTCCCAAATTCCTAAATTCACCAGTTTCCAAACCCCCAAATCTCCAAATTCACTAGTTTCCAAATCCCTAAATTCGCAAGCTTCCAAATCCCCAAATTCGCCAATTTCCAAATTCCCAAATTTCCAAATCCCCAAATTCACAAGCTACCAAATCCCCAAATTCCCAAATTCACCAATTTCTAAATCCCCAAATTCACAAGCTTGCAAATTCCCAAATTCGCCAGTTTCCAAATCCCCAAATTCACCAATTTCCAAATCCACAAATTTCCAAATCCCCAAATCCCCGAATTCCCAAATTCACCAATTTCCAAATCCCCAAATTCACCAGTTTCCAAATCCCCAAATTCACCAATTTCCAAATCCACAAATTTCCAAATCCCCAAATCCCCAAATTCCCAAATTCACCACTCTCCAAATTCACAAATATGTCCACACAAACCCATGTTCCCAACTATCCAGTTGGACCTCCAATACTAAATCTCCGTTTGTCACCTTCTATCAATGTCTATCCTCATCTATCAATGAAACCGAAAAATGTGAAGAGTTCAATTTATGACGTAGGTACATTGTCCTGACTCTTTTATTTGGTGTTAGGCACATCAAGCCGAGGAAGAAGGACTCGGTGACACCGTAGTTCTACTTCAAGCTTATCTCGGCTTGGCCTGGACCCTCGGTTGCGTGGCCTTTGGTTTGTTAGTCGTGCATCGCAGCGTCGAATGCAGGATCGCACGTCAGTATCTTACGCAAGCTGCGATATTTGTATGCGGACTGTGTATTCTGGCCCTCACTGCCGTGCAAGGAAATTATCATGGATACGTCATGTTCGCCTGGATTTACGGTACGACATTTTTTCTCGTAAAAAACGCCTCTTCTCTTGCACTAGCGGTCCTTATTTGCACTTTATAATACTTCGTTCAATGTGAACATTATTGTAACATAAGTTGTTAACCTGGAAATTGTTGTGATACATATGTGTAAATTGTGTTAACAATTTATTGTTTTGGCACATTCATTTGTCGAAGTTGAGCAAAAATTAAGGAAGTGCTAACAATTTGCAAAAGATACATTTTTGATGTATTTAATATATTTTTTAAACAAATGATGGTATGCAATTTTCAATCACTGCAATTTTCGAACATATCAAAAATGACTGATATTGAGGTCTACTTATGTAAATGATTTACTTGCAACAGGTATTTAACATCGAAAGAGTTAATAAGAGATTAAAATTCTTGCTGATAAAGTTGAGTCACTAGAAATGCAAAGATAGACCAAGTGAAGTAACATTTCTTGATCACAATGATTCATTACATATTCAAACATTAAGTTATTTATAAACTGTAAGTTTCTTGTGGTTTATTTGGTCGGTTTTATAGGTATCTTTTGCGGTGGTTACCACTACAGTCTCAAAATGTACACCTACGAAAGAGTCAGAGCTAGGAACTTTGCCAGAACGTGGGGCTTCGTGCAATGTTCTCAAGCCATACCCATAGCTATTGGAGTCCCAATTTCAGGTAATTAAGAATTTCCTTACAATTACATCATGTCTGATGTTCATAATGCCACATCATAGTTAATGTAGAATTTTCATAAAGTTACATCATATTTAATGTAGAGTTATAAACTTATGATTTGTATAGAAAATTCATAAAATATCATATTGGGTGAAGAATGGTCACAAAGCTACATCATATTTGATATCGAATCTTTATAAAGTTATATCGTATCTGATATAGAATTTTTGCAAAGTTGTATTATGATTTGTCTAAGATGTTGACATTGATGATGAATGTTCATAAAGTGACATTAATGAAGAGTGTTCATAAAGTGACATCATATTTGATGAAGAATGTTCATAAAGTATCATACTTGATGGAATAAATCACGATACGAGTACGATAAAAATGTATGCAAATTATTGAACAACTCAACCACGATTGTTTTAGGTTACATGAACGTAAGTTGCGGAGGAAAGGCTGGTTATTATTTCAGCTCAACCTGCGTTCTAGTGGGTGGCTTCACACTCTTCTTCATAGACCTCCACAGAAGAAATTTGTCTAGACACAAACACACCAGGTCTAACGGGACCAAGCACCTCTGCGTCTCGGACAATTGTCCACAACGCCGGAAACTATCGTTCAGTCAGGAACCGGAAAACGATGGTCCACATGTGGCTACTGCTGGGGCTGCTGCAGCTGCACTTGTTCTAGGCACTGAAATATCTCCAACTCCAGGTACAAAATATAAACGCACACTAAAGATGCTACAAAGGTAACTAAACCAAACGTCATAGGATGGACAAATGAACAGGGTAAACAAATAACAGGATGGACAAATAAAAAATATCTGATTTGCAAATTATAGTAACTGAACTAAAGTTATTCCAAATAGAACAGTATGATGGACAATGATCTTTTTCTGACTTACAGACAATGTTACACTAACTGAATTAAAATTAGTTTAAGTAGTACTGGATGAATAATGATCATCTTTTGAACAACATTAAACAATGTTAACCCTAGTTTTCAAGTTGCATTGACTCAATCAAAATTGTTCTGAACAGACCAGCCAGATGGACAATGGTGATCTTTTAGTTTTGAAACAAAGTTACACTAACTGAAGCAAAGTTATCTTAAATAAAACAGTATGATGGACAATGATGATCTTTTGATGGTCTTGAAATAGAGTTATATTAACTGAAGCAAAGTTATTTCCAATAGAACAGTAAAATAGCCAATGATGATCTTTTGGTCCTAAAACAGTATTATACTAACTGAACCAAAGTTATTTCAAATAGACCAGCAAGATCGACAATAATGATCTTCTGGTCTTGAAAGAGAGTTAAACTAACTGAACCAAAGTCATCTCGAATAGAACAGTAAGATATACAGTAAGATATATAAATAGAACAGTAAGATATCTTCACACCTTAAAACAAAGTTACCCTAACTGAAAGTTACGTAGAATAGCAAGATCAAAAGTTATCTTTCTGTGTCCTTGAAACAAAGTTGCACAAACTGTATAAGTAAAGCTACAAACGCACAAGATACGTAACAATAATGCTAAGACATACCTAAATTCTTATCTGATTTAATTTCAGGTGAGATGATCGACGCTCTAGCGCCAGAGAAGCCCGAGCTAACATGCATCTCCGAAGAGGGTATCGCAGATATGGATCTGCCTGACAACATGCTCGAGGATCTCGATTATATCGGCGACTGCATAACCTCGTGCAACAAAGTCGAGAACTATTTGATGCTGTCGGAGTTCGAGAATAACTTGATCGCCGAGATGCCGATCATCATGGATCGCCGAGGTCGAAGGTGGTCCATCGCGCGATCGAAAGGTGGTCAACCAGCTATCGAACGACCTGCTACTCTTCAATCGGCAAACGAGGAAACCGATTCGAAGACGAAGTGGCATGTGACTAATGTGCCTCCTAATAATAGGGTGATCACAGTAATCGACGAAGCTAGCGCGTAGCTCGATGGACCCTTTTGCATAACGATTCGTTATGGTGCAATTTGGTGCGAACTCAGAAGGAAAGACACTCTGAGATTGTGCTATCAGCGTGCCTTTCTTTCTGCACCGACTGTGTATATACGAGATGTGATCTTTCTTATATTTTAATTTCGCAAAATTTACAGTCGAAGTTTGGTAATTATCTTGTGTACATTTGGAGTGTTCGGAATTTTGGAATGATTGCAATAGTACAAAACTGAATGGTGTAAAACTTGATCTACACATTTTCTAATTCTTGAATTCTCTTTCATATACATAAATTTTAAATCCCTAAATTCTTAAAGTTCCAGATTCTTAAATACCCAAGTCTGCTTAAGTTTTCAAGTCGTCGAATCTTCAAATCTATCGATCTTTGAATTCTCAAATCCTTGAAACATTAAACTTCTAACTCTTAAAATCCTCAAATCTTCAAATCTATAAATCTCCGAAGTCTCAGATTCTTAAAAATCTAAATTGCCAACAGTCTATGAATCTCTAGATCCCTAAATTTCCAAATTAACAAATCATTCAACTCGTAAATTATCAAATATTCAAATCCCCAAATCCCCAAATTCTCAAATCCTCAAATCCTCAAATTTCCAAATGATCAAATCCTCAAATTTCCAAATTCTCAAATTCCCAAATTCCCCAAACTCCCAACTAATTATACCACATATAACAATAGTAATTAAAACTTGAATCTCAAATTTAAATTAAAGAGAATGAAAGAATCTAAGGGACTAATTAAGTTCCAACTATCGCGCTGCCTTCGATCGTTTGTCTGGTTTGTTCCTCTGTTTTGATTAAAAATAAGTACGTAAAATTAAGAATCGTATTAACTATAGTTTTAGCGAACAGTGACACGCTGCTGGTTTGAAGCAGCGGTGCAATTGCTCGCGGTGCAATTAAGGACAATAACGTCGGCTTTCGACGAGAGGAACCACGGAAACGTTCCGTCCACAATGGAGATAACCTCGACTCGCGTCGACGTATTTGTTTAAGCTTCGTGCTAGTTCACTGCCACGCGTAGATGCACGAATTAAACGATCCTAGATTTGTATTCATTTTATTAGGAAATTGAACACAATTTATAATTGACAATTTTATAGAATGAAATTGACAATTCTATATGACTGTAGGATGATGATTGCATTCTGCATAATGGTTACTCGTGCTATGGCTCTGATTAAATATTGAAAAAATTGGAAAGAGAGAAAGTTAGTTGGATTATGTGCAAATTTTGTTTTTAATCTTGGAATTGGTTGGTATATTTTTAAATTTGAAGATTTGCAATGTGAAGTTCATAATTTTTCAAATTTTCATATTTTAAGAGTGAAACATGAAAGTTTCAATATTGTTTTTTGATATTTTTTAATGTTAAAAAATATTTAATTTTCAGAATTCCAAAGTTCACAAACTAGCAAATTCCTATACTTCATAATTCCTAAATTCACAAATTGTGAAACTGTCAAATCCCAAAATCTCCAGATTTCTATATTTCGTAATTCCTAAATTCCCAAATCCCTAAATCCCAAAAATCTCACATTTTCAAGTTCAAAATCCCTAGATTCCTACATTCCGAAATACCTAAATCCCCCAAATCTGAAATCTCCAAATCTTCAAATCCCCAAATTCTCAAATTTCCAAATGTCAAAATCCCTAGATTCTTATATTCCAAAATTACTAAATCCCCAAATTCCCAAACTTCCAAATTTAAAAATCCCTCGATTCTTATTTTCCAAAATTCCTAAATCCCCAAATTCTCAAATTTCTAAATCTCAAAATCCCTAAATTCCTATTTTCCAAAATTCCTAAATCCCCAAATTCTCAAACTTCCAAATCTCAAAGTCCCTAGATTCCTATTTTCCAAAATTCTTAAATCCCCAAATTCTCAAACTTCCAAATCTCAAAGTCCCTAGATTCCTATTTTCCAAAATTCTTAAATCCCCAAATTCTCAAGCTTCCAAATCTCAAAGTCCCTAGATTCCTATTTTCCAAAATTCCTAAACCCCCAAATTCTCAAACCTCCAAATCTCAAAGTCCCTAGATTCCTATTTTCCGAAATTCTTAAATCCCCAAATTCTCAAACTTCCAAATCTCAAAGTCCCTAGATTCCTATATTTCAAAATTTCAAAATTCCAAAATCCCCAAATTCTCAAACTTCCAAATCCCAAAATCCCTAAATTCCCAAACATCCAAATCTCAAAATCTTTAGATGCCTATTTTCCAAAATTCCCAAATTCTCAAATCTCCAATCCTCAAATCCCCAAATAACTAAATTCCCAAATACCCTAATCCCCCATTCAAAAATTTCCCTTCCTAAAAACATACACTAGTGACTACAGTCACCGAAAAATCTCCAAATTTGTCTAGTAATAATTTAAAAAACAGGATCGTTTAATTCATGTCGATAGCTAGTCTTCTCCGAACGGGATTTGTTTATGGGCCGATGCTTCCACGTAGGCAATGCTAGCTAAAGGTATTGAAACTAGTCCAAAAACTCGTACGCAGCGATTAAGCAAACGATACTGTAACGATAGAAACTGTGCGTAGTCAAAAACGAGAGTATATCTTTGTACCGTCGTTCGAGACATTTTGAGAATTTTTCGTCGAGCAATCGTTTCTCTTTTTGTGATCGAGCGAGTCGCGAACGGTACAAAACGCAAAGAGATTACGATACTATTTATTTATCAAACTATTTATATTAGGATTATACCATACGCATGTCATGTACATACACGCACGGACACGTATATATACACACATACTCATGTACGCGATAATAAGCGTGTACTCCGAGATAGATTATTTAAGATGCTATCAACTGATCATAACTTCGGTTTTATACTCGAAAATATTCGATGCGATTGGATAAAAAATCTTCCTTCGATTAAATATAAAAATAGGACAAGAAAAATTCAACGACAGTGATTTTGTTGAGCATTTTTATATCATGGTATTCGTATTATCGTTACTGTTAGCGATAACGTAAAGCTGCTAGTCGATCGTGTTGCATATACAACGCAAAGAACAATAAGTTGCGAACTACCGTTTATTATTGTACAACACAGCAACACCGAACAAAACTGCCTATATTGTAATATTGTAACGTTGTTAATACAAAAATGTGATTTTACCAACCAGCTCGTTGTTTCTACCTCTTTTTCACTTCTCCAGTAACGAACAACGTTGTGTTAGAACTGTTATTAGAATAACGTTGTGTTAAAACTGTTACTAGAACAAAACATAGATTTACCGAATGTTCCATTACGCCATCGATACATGTACGTACCGATAATTCGACGTTAATTACGAATTCTTGGTAACTGGTGGTCGAACGTTTGTTACGCGCGTTGGTATGCGAGAATTATCGAACGCGGTTCGTTGTACACCAGTAACACTTTATCGATAAATTCTAATTTGCTTTGGTCGCGATCTATTTGTACCGCAGGCGTAAACCACACGTTCTCCAATTCTGCGATTTGCATTTGAGCGGATACTGTTCTCTGGCCGACCATAGGTTCTCATGTTCAACAAACATATTCGTAATTGAAATCCCAAAATACGATCGACGATAAAATGAATAATTTACGTTCCGAATGCTGTAACGTTCGAGTGGATCATTTTGATATCGTGTAGTATTGCGAAACGTCAGATAAGTATTAACAAGTTTACTCAAATGTAAAGAATTGCAATTTTTAAGGAACTTTTTATATGTATAGGGATGTGGAAGGTTTGAGATAATTTTATTTGGAATTTTTGGAATTTTAGAATTCGGGAATTTTAGAATTTTGGAAGTTTGGAATTTTTGAAATTTCTGGAATTTCTGAAATTACTGGAATTACTGGAATTTTTGGAATTTCTAGAATTTCTGGAATTTTTTTGAATTTTTGAATTTTGGAATTTTGGAATTCTATAATTCTGGCATTCTGGCATTTTGGCATTTTGGAATTTTGAAATTTGGGATTTTGAAATTTTAGAATTTTTTAAGTTTTGGAATTTTTTAAATTTCTGGAATTTGGGAATTTTGGAACCTAGGAATTTAAGTGTTTAGAAATTCGGAAATCTAGTAATCCAGTAATCTAGTAATCAAGTAATCAAGTAATCAAGTAATCTAGTAATCTAGTAATCTAGTAATCTAGTAATCTAGTAATCTAGTAATTTAGTAATCTAGTAATTTAGTAATCTAGTAATCTACTAATCTAATAATCTATTAATCTAGTAATCTAGTAATCTAGTAATCTAGTAATCTAGTAATTCACTAATCTAAGAATTCGGGAATTTTGCAATTTTAGAATCTTTAAATTTAGAACTCGAAAAATCCAGAAATCTAAAAATCCCAAAATGCAGCAGTCCACAAATCTCGAAATTCCAAAATCCACTAATTCACATACGTTCCCCATTTACAGTAAAATATTCGTAACATACCACCAATGCCACCAATCATTATCACCAAATTAAAACAAAAAATCTCCCTTCATACCCTAAAGAAATAAACCCCTTTCAGAACGCAATCAGATAGTTCGTTAATTACCAGGCGGCACGATTGTGCGCGTTAATCAGTGATCGACATATTACGTAGGACAACAAGTATGTTAAGAGCTCTGACCGACAGTTGCTTGAAGACGCCCCATGAAGAAGTGCCCCCCTGGTGTAGCCTCTATCACGTTATTTGATAAAAAAACGATTGCAGTCATCCGATCGAATCCTCCAGGTAAGATGTCAGGTTTCTTTGAAAAGGCTAACAACCAAGATGATTTACGTTCGTGGAACACCGGGCTTTTGATCGTTCGTTGCTTCTTGGAATAACCTTGGACTGTTCCAGAACAGAGACTCATAAATTAATTTCTTCTGTTTGTTCGACAAGGTTGAGGATATTTGTCTGCTTTATTATTTACTGTCTGCAATCTTCTTTTTATTTTTGTTGCAATTTTATTTGACTTTCTGTGGATTTTTTTGGGCACATTAGGTTAACGATTTACTACTTTATTAAATTGGTAGGTTCAATTTAAAGTAGTGGTTTTGAAAGCTTGATGACATAGGACTGCATACTTTTTACATTTAAGAATACTTTTATGTATGTTACATACTCTGAATAAATAGATATTTAGACTGTATTGTCATGTACTAAAATTTGCTTCATTCAAATTATTATTGCTATAATAGAAAGTTCCATTATTTAACATATCTGAAATTCATTGTAGAATCAGTCACAAATCAGTAAAATAGTCCAAATAATTATTATTATATTCATTGTAGAATCAGTCACAAATCAGTAAAATAGTCCAAATAATTATTAAAGCCCCGAATAATTAAAAATTCGATTAATATCCGAAACTTATTACGGTGTGACTGATTACATGTTCTTAAAGTAATATCAAAAGTCGCAGTAAGCAAATTGAGATGTCTATCAATGTGCAACGCGACATTCCTTCGGTATAAAGCTTCTCCAGTTATCTAACTTTGAATATAATTTAATCCTTCTTCCATTTCGCTTTGTCCGTAAAATACTGCGAACTGTAACCAACAATGGAAGCTTAGTCGACAACGCGATAATAACTTCTGATAAGGGAAACGCTTGTTTCAGCACTCCGAAATATACGAGTGGAGGATGCCCTATGGAAAGTTGCATGTCCTACCACTGAGCCTATTTATTCTGATCCCGGTGACATTTTTGATTACGTAAGTCCGTTCATACGTAGATGGATTTCAAATAAAACTTGGACTCGTAACATCATTCGTGGTTAACTTCGTGTGCGATACATCTCATACTGCAGATTTTCAACGTTTACCTTCATAATTTATTATTATTTCACACTATGGTTCAGCTGTTTCAGTATATGCATACATACATATTGTATATCACAATTTTGACTAAATACTTTACTCAAATTAACTTGATTATTCAGCAATAATTAGAGATTGATTAAATGTTACAGCTCGAATATAAATGACACACGTCACCTTTTAGTTGATTAAATTTTCATCAAAATTCGAACGATGTCGATTAATTGGTTTGATAAATAACTGGAAGCATTTACCGAAACAATGACCACTGTTTCACGATGCGATGAAAATGAAACCGTAATCGGAACATCGACATCGATGTTCACCAGCTGGTTTATAGTCGATCAAGGTCGCAGTATTGGAAACAACAGTCATGCGTTTTATTTCCGACACTGCAATGTACATCGTGATCAGTTCGATTCATTACACTTTGTTGTATACACTTCGCGAGGAATATTGTTCTGTAAATATGGCTGCCTCCATAGTGGATGCAGCACTGAATATTTCACTGCATTTTCTATAACTTTTCTTTCAGAAATTCTGCTGATAATTGAGATTGTATGTCTTTAAAAGATTCTTTGTAGAATTTGTTATTAATTATTTGTACTTAGATGAAACATTGTTCATCGTTAAAAAAATTAATCAATGTCATTAATCATTAAATAGTGAAACCTGATAAAGTATGAAAACACGTAATATCATTATTTGTTATTTATCTAAAAGTATTACTATATATGATATATATCGATAATCAGAAATTTTAATTTAAAAAAGGTGAATATTAAAAAATAATATTAAAATATCAGAATAAACGATACAGTTTGAAAACGAATATTTCAGGTACACCATATCGGTGCATTGGGACCATGTGCTACCAGGATTCCCCTACATATCGGAAACAGGCACCCTGTCACCGGAATCATGTATATTCGCTCAATTTCTGAATATAGCAGCGTTGCTCCGTAAATTTCACTAAGTTTTCGCTACAGTTAACTCATCGACTATGGCCATTTCTATCGTAACGACGGAGAACGCTATAATTTGTGCATTTCAGTCGCCTGTTGCGTGTATATCAGACACCGACAAGTTTCTCAATGGCGATTGGAAAGGGGCAAAAATCTCGTTAGCAAGAAAATCGTTGTTGTGGCGGCCTGGTGTGGTGCCCTAGCTTGTTTCGGACTCGATATTCTGGCCAATTTTCAAGAAGCTCGGGTTGTCGCGGCTCACATGATCGGAGCTATGACCTGCTTTACTGCTGGAACCTTTTACTTCTGTCTTCAAGTAACGTCAAATTAATCTTTGAACATGACACCGTAGATTTTAGGTTCGACATTTGGAGAACAATTAGTACATTGAGACACAGAGATTTCAATTTTGGACACATCTACATTTCTTTCTTTCATGATTAGATCATTGCATCAAATGTTATTTTTTTTTTCTTCAATCTGTCTCAAAAAATTAATATAACAGATATTAAAAATCAATACCTGAAAGAACAGTTTAACCTCCAAATAAAAGTGCAAGAAGTCTGCAATTAAATTTAGATTAAAATAGTTTAAATTAGCTACAAACTTCCCAACTAAGAATTAAGAAATTCTGAGATATTATACGTCCTATGCGTCCTGTGTACGTCCTCTCAAATTATAATTATTTCATTTCTCCAGACATACATAAGTCACAAAATGGTGCCGGCAGTGAACGGCAGAATTGTCGTGTACGTTCGTGTAAGCCTATCAATTTTAACCTTAATTTTAACAATTATCACGATCGTGCCTGGCTACATTTCAATGCTGCAATTTCAAGGTAACAGTTTCTCATTTTCTTGTTTGAAGTCCAGATGCACGGACACCGGTTATTTGATGACGACGATTTGCAGGCAACGACTACAAAAAATGGCTGCCAACGGACGGTGGCTGGGGTTGGCACGTTACTAGCGCAGTTTCCGAATGGGTTTTAGCGATTGTATACTGTGCTTTTCTTCTCACGTTTGTTCCTGAGTTTCGATTAATTAATTTCGAGGATCCTGTGGTCACGGTATACATTTTTTTTGTAACTCTGGTCAATTACAATATTTATGTTTAAGAAAATTTTTAATTAAGAGTACAAATTGAAATGCAATTTGAAGCTGCACTTTTCTTTGTGCTTATAACTTTATTTATAAAATTAATTAGACGGAGTTCAAGCTTTCTGTATTTCTTAAATTAACAGCAGTTTTTATTTAGTTTCATGAACTAGAAGTACAAGTTGAATTTGACCGGAGAAATTATTGATTGAAATTTCAGACATATCTGTATTTTCTGATTTCAGCTGATATACTTGGATAAGGAACCAGGAATCAAAATAACCCACAAATTAGATTTACAGGCCCAGGAATGATGAATCTATTAAGCTACATCAAAACTAAGATTTATGATAAGTTATATTTCTTTAAAAGATTATTGGAATCGATTGTACATATTGTTTATTTCATTTTTCCAACACATTCGATAAAAATTTGAGGGTTTAGGGATTTGATTGTTTGACAATTTAAAAAATTCAAAATTTGGAAATTTGAAGGTTTAGGGATTTTGTAATTTGATAATTTGATGAACTGAGAATTTAGAAATTTGAGAATTTGGAGATTTTGACCCGCAAAAGTTTGACAATTTTGAAATATAGAAAATTTGAAAATGTGAGAACCAATCCTCGATTAAAATCAATCCACATTTTTCGAGTCTCCCAACTCCTAATTACTGGAACTCCTTAATTCTAAATACTCCACATAATTCAATCAAACAAAAGTTATCAAATAATTTATGAACAGGAATGTACCTGAATAACTTCTACAAACGTGTCCTATCACTCCCTGATCTCAAAACTCTCATCTAAAGAATACCCTGAAGCCATTCCCCGTTCAGAACGATTAAAACGATACCAACGTTGGCAACTGTCAATTAACAACGCCGTCTTTAACCAAATTCGAATGGTCCTTGAAGAAGTCCGCAGCCAACAAAATAAAACGAAACGTGCTTCAAGTTTATCGAGAAACGAAGCCCGTTGTTCAGTCACGCTTGGCAAACGTGTTCAAGAACTGGCGCTGCAATCCATTTTACATTGCATAAAATTATTGCAGCTAAAAAATAAGAATAATCCTCAGATGAACACCTTCGTGGAAGTCCATTGCAGATGTTGCAGCGTGCTATTATCTTGCAACCAGTTCAGATGCGGTATTTTTGATAAGGTACAGTCAACTGCAAATCTTCCCTAGGGAACCAAAAAAGGGAATGACTCGCTACTCTAACTCTTAGGGATATTTAGTTGGATTTTGAACTTGGAAACTTTAGGATTTGGGATGTAGGAATTTAGGAATTTTAAGATGTAGTAATTTGGAGATATGGAAGTTTAGAAGTTACAAAATTTACTGAGATTTGGAGATTTAGAGAAAATATGGATTTGAAGGTTTAGAAATTTGAGGGCTAAGGAATTTAGGGACGTAGGTGTTTGGAAATCTTGAGATTTGGATACAAATGAATATGGAAATCTAGCAATTTGGGAAGTTAAGAATTTCGAAACATAAGAATTTGGAAAGGGACCTAAAAATTTAAAGACATATTTGGATATCTTGAAATTTGAAAGTGTACAAATATGAAAATCTAGGAATTGGTGACGGATATTGTCTCTATCTGCGTAACACCCTAATATACTTTTACCAAACATCCACTCTCCTGCTGCACATTCAGCTCAGAAAACCCTGATTTACCGAATTGAATATAGGTCGCAGTACCTGTGCGAGCGCTACTTTCGTTTGCCAGCGAATTTTTCAAACCCCTGCATCGAAGCTGTCAGGTGCGGCAGCGTCGATAAGCGTATCGTACGCACGTATCGTGACACGAGCAGCGTCGCGACGTACGTTCCTTGGTGAACGTCGGTTAGCGACGACGTCGGCGTCAGTCTCGTGGCGCAGCTGCCGAGAGCGCCGTTCTCGTTGGCCCATCGATCGCGCACTGTCGGCCATAACCTCTGCAATTTCCACTGTCTTCACCCTGGCCTCTTCGATAAAAACCCCGAAGCTTGCGATAAAAAGCAACGAATCACCGGAAACAACGTCGACAATTAATTACATTCTGGGTGCTGTCATTCTAAAACAAACAGGGTGTTGTTCGCTCCGGAAGACCTTCAACTGTGTGCAACCCCTTTCGGAGAGAGTTTGCAGTTTCGGTGTAACGTGACCGTACGTGTACGTCAGTGTGGAAATTACGAAGGTACAGGCAGATCTTGTTCCGAATTTTAGTGCTTTCGACAACCGGGTTTGTCGAAGCTCGCGTGCCAAGGGACCCATCCCTCTAGACAACGCCCGCGTGAGAACTCGCACGCGTCGATCGTCGACGAATTCAGTGAATCATCGTGGATTACGGTATTGCATACATTTCTGGCGCGAGTTCGTGGACCTGGCTCGATTACGGCATTACAAGGTATTCGAGAAACATTCTTGCGAGCTTTCGCAAAGGAGATAAGATTAAGTGGTCACGAGATAAAAGGCGTACTTTCTCTCGGTGGGAGTGCAATAGTAATTACAGTTAGCCCGTGACAATAGAGGTACGTCCTCGCCACGTGACAATGTGTTTTCTGTTCGAAGGTGTGTAGAAGAGAGGTCGGATGAGAGTGGAGCCGCAGTGCGCTCGTACGCGTTGCAACGATTGATTCCCAGGGGAATAAAAGGTTTGGGAAACGAGAGAAAGAGACGAGCATGAGTGTTCGTGGCTCGTCGACGCGTGCATCGACGCGGACGTCTCCTCGATAGCGACGTCGTTCCCGGACGTCGTCGTGTGACGTCATCGGTTCCGGCGGGAAAGCTAAACGTAACCAAATACGCACAGCCGAAACATGGACAAAGGGGATTACCTAGTCAACCTACACTATCTTCCGATTATATTGTTTGTTTCGTTGCCTTCCGTTTTTATTCTGACGTGAGTAGCATTCTGATATCGAATTTCCTTCTTTATGCACCTTCATCAGTTATTCCGTATTTTTTGTGTCGACCATTTAACTGCGCAGGGCAGAGGTATTTTTTATTTTCCTGCTTCGTATTTGATTTATAATTTAAAAGGTAGATTCAGGCAGGTTGAAGATGAAGTAAAGAAATGGAACGTAAACAAAGCCATTCTTTATTCTGAAACTATTCTTTATTTTTTAATTCTTTATTTTCAGAAAAACTTGAATTAATGTGCTATCAAAAAATTGTATAATTAATTGAAGATTTTATCAAGTTTTGTATGATCAAATTAAACTAACAAAAATCTGTATTACTAAGAAATTGTATAATTGAAGATTTTATCAACTTTATGTATTAAGTAAAGCAAATTTGATTAATTAAGTGCTTTATAAAGTTTGCTTTAAAATTTTTTCCAACTGTTCAGTATTTTGTTCACGTCATTAATCATCGATAACCCACATGATAATCAACATGTATATTTAGTAATTTTCCTTTAAATCGCTTAAGTCTTTGAGTATGGACACCTATAATTAGATATGCTACCGGCTAAGCTCGCAAAAATGCACAATGCATAATTATATGCAGAACGCTGCTTAAAACATTCTTCATTGAAAATTTGAAATGCAAATTTTCAGTAATTTTGCATAATGAACGTCAAAGCTAGATTTAAACGTGCGATGTTGTCAGTAATCCACGTCAAAAGCTGTTACAAGTTTGATTTCGCTAAAATATAGCTGCTTTATTTTTCAGTAATTAATATTCAACGTTATTAAAATCCCCTTTGCAAATAAGACGATGAATTGAAATTTGCTCGTGCATAATCTGTATCCGCTTAATTTGCATTCTTTTAGATATACGCTTTAGTGCCTCATTTTTCATTTCTCATTTGTTTACATTTAAGATGCTTCTTTTCTAATATGAGATCATTGTTGATATTATTTTTGGAGGTTTCAATGTAGCTTGCAAAACTATTAATTTTCAAGTAGTAAAATATAAATTACGTAAAGTTTAGTAATAGATAATATTTCATTATTGTTAGGTATTAATACTTCATCACACTATATTTACACTAAATTAATATTACAGTACATATATTTGTGAGTGTCTAAAAATATTGTCATACTGAAAAAAATCATGTGACAAAGAATTTCACTTTATCACGAATATTTCAATCCGTACATTTACTGCGAAAAGGTTACATACATCAGAGTTAAGTTATTCCTTTGCGAACTCTATCGCGAGCTTTCGAATACATATGTATCTGTTTGTGTTTTCCAGTTACATAATAGCGGTCGTATTGGGTCACGTGGAAGCTGGATTCCCTTACATCTCGGATGCAGCTTCGTATGCACCCGAAAGCTGCATATTCGCACAGTTTATCAACATGTTAGCGATGCTCAGTGAGTATAGCGTGTCGACATTTAAATTTTCGACGCTGACGAGGCGAGAAAATCGATTGACCCTTTGCACGCGGTACAGTAACCTCGATTCTCGTTCGCAAAGGACAATCCGATATAAAACTTCAGATCCCAGAAAATACGAAACAACCCCGCTATCGTTGATTTATTCTTTGTCTGTTTCAGTGTCGTTCCTCGTCTATATTAGGTATTCGCAGGTGAAAGAATGCTCGAGTACGTTCAGTCTGCAAGAATCTCTGTCGAAATGGAATTACTGGTCTTTAATTTTTGGCCTGGTGGGCACACTTGGCCTCTCCATTGTAGCTAATTTTCAAGAATCGTCCGTCAAGATCGTGCACTTCATCGGTGCTTTTCTTTGTTTCGGTTTCAGCACTGCGTATTTTTGGACACAGGTAGGATTTTCAGATGTAGCTTTTGTAAATATTTTAGAAATGTTGTAGTCTATGCTGTAGCTTCCTACGCATAAATTTGCCACGCATATATTTTTACGCGATAGATTGCTATGTGTTTGACTATCACGAGTTACATCGCCACGCGCTATATTGCCATGCGTTGTATTTCAACGCAATTAATCACCACGCGTTATGTTACCACGTATTAAATCACTATACGCTGAATTTCTACGCATTATATTGCCACGTGTTATATTGCCTCGCGTTATATTGCCACGTATTATATTTCTACGCGTTGGATTATCACACGTTATATTATAACGAATTGAATCACTGCGGGCAGTATTTCCACGCGTTATGTTCCCTCGCACTATATTGCCACGCATTATATTGCCTCGCGTTATATTGCCATATATTATATTTCTACGCGTTAGATTACCACACGTTATATTACAACGTATTGAATCACTATACGTTATAATTCTACGCATTATATTGCCACGCGTTATATTGCCTCGCGCTATATTGCCACATATTACATTTCTACGCGTTAGATTGCCACACGTTATGTCACAACGAATTGAATCACTGCGGGTTGTATTTCTACGCGTTACATTGCCTCGTGCTATATTGCCACACGTTATATTGTCACATATTATATTTCTATGCGTTAGACTGCCACACATTATGTCACAACGAATTGCATCACTGCGGGTTCTATTTCTACGCATTACATTGCCTCGTGCTATATTGCCACGCGTTATATTGCCACATATTATATTTCTACGCGTGAGATTGCCACACGTTATGTCACAACGAATTGAATCACTGCGGGTTGTATTTCTACGCGTTACGTTGCCTCGTACTATATTGCCTCGCGCTATATTGCCACATATTATATTTCTACGCGTTAGATTGCCACACGTTATGTCACAACGAATTGAATCACTGCGGGTTGTGTTTCTACGCGTTACATTGCCTCGTGCTATATTGCCACGCGTTATATTGTCACATATATTTCTGTGCGTTAGATTGCCACACATTACATTAGAACGAATTGAATCACTGCGAGCTGTATTTCAACGGGTTAGATTGCCACGCGTTATGTTGCCTCGCATTATATTGCAACGCGTTGTATTACTATTCGTCAGGTCAGCATGCGCCATATTATTACGAATTATATCACCACGAATCGCTACGTATTATATTATTATGTGTTAAATTGCCTCGCGTTATATCACAATTCACCAATTCTCTATACGTTGGATCACCACGCGTTGCATCGCCATGTGTCGTATCATCAGTCAATTTTATATCGTACCTCTCCGCCAAATTCAGTAATCTGGGTCATTAATTTGCACCTAAATTCCGAGTTCTCAAAACTCAATCATAAAAACGCCCACTTAACTCGTAAAAAAGTTCTCGATGAAACTTTCATTCGTCCGAACAAAGGAACGGGAATTAAAATTGAATGAAAAGCCGTGGATGAAACATCAATGCCGTCTAATTGGATCAAGCCAAACGAAGTCTGATTTGTTTCTGTAGGTTTGCGTAATTTCCTGGAAAGCTGATTCACCCACGGCACTAGATTGCATACATGTTATAAAACAAGAGACTGTCGTTTTGATGGACGTATTCTGTTTTCAGGCTGTGTGTACGTTCTACCTGCATCCAATAGGAAGTTCCTTGAGATTAGCGCATCTTCGTACAGCACTGTCTACTTTTTGCACTGTGTGTTTCATCATCACCATCATTACAGGTCCGCTGGCGTATGCGGCTTATAAGGGTTGGTTCGTTGTGTTTCCTTTCATTATCGTTATATGTCTCTTGCTGGTGATTTAATCAAGTGTTTTGGTACTTTTTTTGTAGGTACGAATCCGAAGAAGTGGTACAAGGAGGACGGTGGTTGGGAATTGCATGTCGCTAGCACGATAACGGAATGGCTGTGCGCTATCGCGTTCTGCATCTATATTTTGACGTTCAGTGATGAATTTAAGAATGTCAAGGTCACGCATCCGAAGGTAGATGGAAGCTTTTTATGAGAATTCTTTTGGGATATGGATTTGGAAAATTATGAGGCGTTTGTGGGTTAATTGGATATAGGTCACTTTAGAGGGGTTTCAAATTTAGTAATCCAAATTGCGACATTATAAAATTATCAAATTTGCAAATTACTAAATTACTAACTCTCAAATGCCTAAGTACCAAATCCATAAATCTCAAACCACCAAGTCCACATCATTGAGTCTCAAAATTTCAGAGCTTCTAGTTCCAAATACACAGATCTACAGATGCACATATCCCGAAACCTCCACAAATCCTAAATCCTCAGATCCTAAACCCTAAGTCATCTTAGACCCCAAATTCAGAATCTTCAAATCTCCAAATTTCTACTATTATCGCCAAGTCTCTATTCTCCCCCAACTACAAGCTATTTCTCCGTCTTCAGGTCGTGTGCACCCGCAATCGTACAAGGCTCAGCAACGAGGCGTTGAACGAGAGCCAAAACTCCGTGATGGCTCACGATCACACGGCCAGGATCACCTGATCGCTCATAGGCAGAGGCGCCGGTGGTTACGTGAACCTCCTCTCACACTCTCCAGTGAACACCCCGTGTCCCGGTTACAGGTACCGTGAGTCCCGCGAAGCTTTATTGGACGAAATCGAACCTTTGGTGGCATCGACACCGCCAGCCATCTGCGACCTTGAGGGGAGAACCGACGTCCTCTGCCCGGTGCAAATACACGTGCAAGACCCGGCGATACGCGAACGACGACGACTGACCGGCGAACAGGAAGACGTTGAGTACGATCGTAAATGGTGCGAGGATCATTCGAAAAGGTGGATAGATCTGGACGAGAACGTTCTGGATGGTTATATCCTCATAGACGACACGTGTCTGGAACGTGGTGTGGTACCCGATGAAACGCAGGAAGTTCCCTACCCTGAGGGACCTATGGACGATGACGAAGACGACGCTGACAGTCACGGTAAAGAGTGTTCCATCTACAGTAGAACGAAGAGGGCAGCTTCGAGAAGAACCAGAGAAGACTTCGATCTGTCTACCACCTATCCACTAGCTAATAGTCACGGCAACGCTTATCTAGAGTCGAGTAGTCACGCTAGGTACAGCGAATTGTACTCGGAGCTAGCTGTCAGGAACTACCTGGAGACCAATCGAGACGATGTGGCGAATTACTCCGTGGCGAACAGCCACGGCGATCATAGTATATCGTCGGAAAACAGGGAACGGAGCTTCAGAGAGAACGCGGAGACTGATCAGCTGACTTGGGACACCAGACAGCACACCAATTACGAAGTAGCCAACAGCCATAGCAACTACAGGGTTTTCTACGACAGCCAGACGCAGCAGAGGGACTTGCTGCAAACGACTGTCTGGCCGATAGAGTCGTGGCGGGAGCAGCTCTTTGGGAACACTTGCGTAACGGAAGAGAAGCTACAGAAGTCGGAAAACGTTGAAAGCGTGGGTGACGAAACGAGAACCAAATCGGAGGCGAAAAGCGATCCTATCGAGCCGACCTGCGACATCGAGCAGTGTCTGGTGCAGATTGAGGAGAGCCTCTTGAACATCGAACAAAACCTACTTCACGTACAAGACCTTGACATTCCGGAGTTGAGGAATCTTTTGTACAAAAGTCCGAGCATCGAGAAGAGCCTGTACGAGGTGCAAGACCTTCTCTACGCTGACGGTATTGTTCCTGTAATAACTAAGAGGAAGTCGTCGACTCTCGAGTCCGAAGACGAAGACGACGAGGACGAGGACGAAGAGGAGGAAGAGGAAGAAGAGGAAGTTTGGACGGATCGTAATATCACCGTGAAGGACAACGACAACGAGGATGACGACGCTGGCGCTGGTGCTTTCGACGCGTCCAACGAGGAGTCCTCCGACACTGCTAACGCTGAAGAGAACAACCAATCGGGATCGATGGATGATCGATCAAACACGGACTGTGTGAACGGGTCGACGGTTTTCCGGGAAACAACCACCGACTCGAATTACACGGAGAAACCCATGAACTTCATACCGAACAGTCTCAACAAAACGCTGCCTAGGAGGATCGTTCTGGACGGAGCCAAGGAGAACATCAGACTCTGTTCTTCGGAACCCGAGGAGCCGATGATCATCGATTACAACTTGAACACCAGCTGCGCAGACAAGAAACCGTTCTGGCGCGACAAATGTCACAGTAGAACAAACTCCCTGGACGAGAACTCCAAGTTTTCCAATCTGGACTCTTCAGATAAACGAGAGACTGGCAAGAGCTCCTTGCAGAACTTGCTGTTCGAATCCACGAACAACAACTTTCTAGACTTTACCGGGAAAGCTAGGTCCGAGGAGATGTTGCAGAACAGGTCGAAAACGAACAAGAAAGGTACGAGACAGAAACAATGGACCATCATGGAGGCAAAAACGGAGGACTTTCGAAGGAAACTCGAGTCCATTTCTTCGAATCGATGTTTCGCCGTGTCAGCAGCCAACGAACAAAAGAGGACGAAACTTTCGAAAGAGGTGACGACGAATGTGACGCGTCCTCGTGAGAAATCACGCGGTACAGGTTCGACGGACAAGCTACAGGATAAGGACAAGGAGTCCGGAGGCAAGAGTTTCGACAAAAGGAAGAGGAAGAAGATATCGAGTCGAAGTCAAAGCTCTTCTGAGAACGCGTTAGTGCCTAGCAAACTGATCTCCCTGTCGCTGTCCCTTCTCCTCGCGGCTTTATTGCAAGCTGTCAGGTGTCTGACAGACCTGGTGGAAGACGCATTCAGGTCTGTCAGCTACGACAGGAGCGGCCTATTGCAATAAAACACCATGGGGGCGTCCCATGGAAATTCAGTAGCGTCCACGACAAAATATCGCGTATGAATGACTAAGTTAGATGGCACTAAATATAATTATTTTTCGTCCTATTCCTGTTTGTATGACTTCGTTGATACTTCCTGTTAGGGCCAGGATTTTTGGACACGTTTGATATGATTGAGGACTTCTTTAAGAATGTTGGATATTTGTATCCACTTTTGATACGGTGACTTGGGATTTCGTGGATCCTCAAATTTTCAAATTGTTCTGAGGATTCGAAATTGTGGAATATTGATACCTGTATTTCCAAATTTTCAAATTTCAAACTCACAAGTTCCTACTTATGATCCCTGAATTCTTACGTTTTCCATAAGCACAAGTATTCGCTAATTCCCACATTTTCAAATCTTCATACTTCCATCTCATTTCCAATAAACTTCTAAATTTGAAGATTTGGAAGTTCACGAATTAGAACATCAGATCAAAATTTTATAAAATTCATTAATGTCCGAAGTTGCAAGCTCGGTTTGAAAATATGAGGACAACCGTTAGCTTCTGAAAATGAGCAGCTTAAACAAGTCTTCGTCGATTACATAAAACGGGTCTAAATTGTCCATCAAGGTGACCACGTTCGATTCGACGATAAGCCAACGAGCCTTGTCGATGTTAGAAACTTAGACCCACAGTCTTGAATGTGATTAACGTTGCAGTAAATCTGAGTTGACTGAGATCATAGTAGATGCTAGTATATCTAGGACATCGTACAAAGAGTTAGAGAACGTTGTTCAACTTTATCATCAATCGTTCAAATTACTCGTAATGCGTGTTAAACGTAATCCATATGTCACCTATGATGTTCACCCGAAACTTCTAAACTTCTACCATAGGTGTTTCGTGTACAGTTTTCTTCTAATTAACGATTAAGTACTGAGATGCGTCGTTGGATTCGCGTTTGACGAGGTCGCCTTTATGGAACATCTGTTAACCTGATAACGGGAATCGCGTGTGTAAAAGACCATCCTAATTCAGACTAATTCCGACTATGATGAAACTTATCATTTGCAAACATAAACGTCCAGAAGCTGCAGCTGATGTCTGTGATAAATGCTATGCTTACGATCCATAATTATTGGCGTAATTAGACGGAAAGTAGGGTGAGACTGGTCCCACGCTGTAATATGGATTGACATTCCTTTTCCGCGTTGTACGAAAGACGTTTAAGATCCGTTACGTAATTATGAGGATTATTTCGGCAGATTCTACACTGTAGAATGTCTGACGTTAACTGTTTTGAAATTATTGAGGTTAGAAATTTGGAATTTAGAAGTTTTTGTATTTTCTTGGTGGACAAATATTTGGCATGATTTCTACTCGAGGGAAATTAAGATGTACTTTAGTATTTTTTTCAAGTAGAAAATTTCGAAGTTTTCTATTTTCCCGATTTCACTGTTCTTAAATTTCTCAATTTTCCAATTGATCACATTCCAAATTTTTAATTGGTCAATTCCCAAATTTTCAAATTTCATTTTCTAGTTTCCTAATTTCCATATTCCTTCTTTAATTCTTAAATTTTCGAATTTCCAAATTTACGAATTTGAAATTCTGTAATTTACAAATTTACAAATGCCAAAATTCCCTAAACTTATGTTTTCTGGTTCTGAAATTTCCCAAATTTTTATTTTCATATTTTCAAGTTTCCTAGTTTCAAGTTCTCAAATTTCCTATGTCTCTAGTTCCAAGTTCCCAATTTCCTATTTCCCTAGTTTCAAGTTCCGAAATTCCATATTTCTTTAATTCCAAAGGCTTCAATTCTCAATTTCCCAAATTCCCTATTTCCCTAGCTCCAAGTTCCCAATTTCCCTATTTTTCTAATCTCAAGTTCCCAAATCCTCTATTTTTCTAGTACCACTTTCCAATTTCCCCTAGTTCTAAAACTCCTCAATCTCCTATTCCCAAACTCCCCAATTTCAAAAGTCCCTAGATCCTAAACTTGACTAATTCCCAAATTCTCTAGCCCCCAAATTCCTCAATTTCCTATTCACCAAATTCCCTAGTTTCAAAAGTCCCTAGACCCCGAATTTGGCCAATTCCCAAATTCCCTAGACCCCAAATTCCTTAATTCTCTATTCACCAAATTCCGTAGTTTCAAAAGTCCCTAGATCCCGAATTTAGAAAATTCCCTAGACTCCAAATTCCTCAATTCTCTATTCTCCGACCTCCCCAATTCCAAAAGTCCCTAGACCCCGAATTTGGCCAATTCCCAAATTCCCTGGACCCCAAATTCCGTAATTCTCTATTCACCCAATTCCCTAATGTCCAATATCCCAATTTCGAAAGTTCCTACTGCCCAAACTCTCTAATCCCCAAATTCCCTAGTCGCCCACCCCCTTAATTTCCCATTCTGCGAACTCCTCAATTTCAAACGTCCCAACCTCTAAATTTTCAAATCCTCAGCCTCCCAAATTTGAAAACCCAAAAATTTACAAACATCCACCTTCAAAATTCCCAAATTGTAATACTCGCCAATTCTCCAATATCTAAAGTCCCGAAATCTTCAAAACACCTCTTCTAAAAAGTCCGTTAAAAACTAACAGGAATAAAGCAGGCGCCAAGCTCAACCCAGATAAAAAGTCCAGTTACGCCAATGTCCACAATTACGTTTCTACAGTGTACGCTTCCAATACGAAATGGTTAAAGAGGATTAACGTTTAAAGGAGAGCATTCGGTTACAACGGTCGTTACGCTCG